TTCTACACCAAGTGTCCCACCTTTAATGGAGAATGTTGCTATCTCTACTCTAGAAGGAGGCAATGATCCCTTCGCTCCTATTCGTGGGATGAAGGAAGCAAGTGTCAAGATTTATCAGTCTCAGGTACTTATACCTTTTTATGCTCAAGACGATTCCTCTCGTGCTTTCTTAGGTCCCTTTTTTAGTCAGAACAAAAAGAAGTATACTAACAGTCTACTTCCGAAGGATACTTCTTCTCTACCCTTCGTTGATTCATCTAGGATAGATTTATCTCTTTTTACTAATACTACCAAAATTTTTAGAGCTTTTCCTCCTATTAAAGATAGGCACATTCAATGGCTTGAGCATGTTGAAGGTCCTATGAAGTCTATTTGGCTTGATATTGGTATTTTTTTATTTCATTCAATTAGCCAAGTCTGACTTGCATGTTTTCAAAGATACTTCAATCGTTTGGGACAAGAAGACCTACTTAGGTTTCATCAACGCTTATCATGGTAAGGTGGACGAGCCTATCACTAACTCGGAGCATATTACTTTCCTCTTGTATTGGTTATCTGCTTGTATTTTCTGTACTCCCTCTCTTTAAGTACCAAAGCATTACTATGTCCTTGCTCAATCTTTACATTTGCGAAAGAAAGTTTGTTTGAGCAAGTTATTGTTAGCTGTTTTGTATACTTGTCTCGATAAAGCTTCTAAGATTCTATTCCGAGAGACTGACCCTAGGAATCTCTGTAGACCTCTTTGGTTACTGTAGTTATGGCTTAATGCCATCTTCAAAAGGAAGCTCAAGCTCGTTCCCCTTCAATTTTCTATTACCTACACACTTGAGGGGGCAAGACTAGCCGCTTTGACTCCCAAGATGAGGTCCATTGAGAATTTTGCTCGATATGTGCAGACTATTCTCAGTTTCGGGGAGTTTTTTTTGAAGACTTGGCCCTTTTCATTCGACTTGATTTGGTAGGTCTCGCTTGGTTGAAAAAATAATCAAATTGGGTGTATTTCTCGAGATATGATCGACATATGGTTCATATTTTTATCTTGGGATGTCATCTTTTCGGGTATGAAACAAAAGGACGTGAAAGTTTACCCATATCAGCCACAACCTTTTGCCAGATAGTTTGGTCTGTGTCAGATGAAGCCCCTTCCTATTTGTCGAAAAGAAAAGATCGATTTAGACATTTACGTTGAGAGGGGTGACTATGATGTAGTAACGAACTTGATTTTGAGTCCTGAGAAGCAATTGTTTCTTACCCCATTCTCCTTCTCCCCTTCTTTCCTTGTGTCGAAGTGTTTCCTTCTTTGGTGGTGTAAATATTATATTGATAAGGTGTTCACATTCGAGCACTTCCTACAACATTTGATCAATTTTCCTTTTTCTACATAGGGCCCAAAGATTTCAGGTACTTACAAGAATCATAATATTATTTACCGATTTGAGCAATATTTAAAATATTTATTTTATCCTCCTTGGGTGAAGACTCTTGATCCCTTATATGAGAAGCATAAAAGCATCCCTATAAAGAGTCTAGTTAGCTTTGCAAGATGTATTGTGGACGATTTCCTAGGTATAAAAGATGGCCTCTGTGTTGGATCGATAAAATAGTTGTATATCCTGATAATATCTTAACTTTTTTACTTTTGATGTCTTTTTTGATGATTGTACCTTACTCAAAAAAGACGATGCTAAGAAAGAGGATATTTTCTCTTAAGTTGAAGAACAAAAAAACTACTTCTGATAAAGTTTCAATTCGGTCCAAGTTTATTATTTTTTACTCTTTGTTTGTCCTATATTTCTTCAACTAATGTTCCTTCGACTTCAGGATCTCGACTCATCTAAAAAGAAGATTAAAGTAGATTCTTCGAGCGACAAAAATGTAAATCTCCTACTGTCAATTTATACTCTCAATTCTATTTAATTGATCTTGTTTGATCTAGATTTCCACCATGAGGAAGCTTGACAATGGTAAGGGAAAACAAAAAATCCCCTCAAGAAAATTCGAAAAATTGCCCAAGGTCGACAAGTTGATGAAGGATGCCATGAAGTCACATGTGAAGGCATTTGAATCTCTATATATCGAATTTTTAACCGTCTTGGGCTTTCTAAACTTGTTCTTATGTTTTAGGATGATTAGAGCACCCTTAAAGTGAGTATTGCTCTTGGTAGTCCTCAAGAAACGTCTAAAGAAAAATTCAAGAGGTAGGTATCTTTACGAATCAATGTATCACTAAGGTTTTCTATGTTCGGTTACCTTACATCAAATGATTATTACTTTACACTTGCAGGATGTTGATATCATTAACAAATTTTCTTCTCAAGATGTTTCTAAAGATGTTTGACAAGTGATTGATCGTCCTTTGGGGGTATGTATTTTTCAATTAGTTAATCTCTTTTGAGATTTGAAGTTGCTAATTATCTTATCTTTTCTTTTGTTGGTTGTCACATCAAACCTGGAGGTCATTGCTAATGCTGAACTGTTGGTGGCTTCTATGGGGGTCGAAGCCACCCTTCCTCAATCCTCACAAGGTGATGCCCCCTCTTTTGAGATTAACCCTGAAGCTCCTTCAATTCGAGGTATTTATTTATTTTACTGATCTTCATGCTTTCGAAAACATAGGAGTAAATTTGAGTGGTTCCTTTACAAATGCGGAGTTGGTCTTATAAGATACAACCCAATCACTTACTCCATTGTCTCAACCAGTTAAGGATGATGCTGGGTCCTCCATGCCTCCACCAGCCTCGATACCTTCAACTGATCTAGACCTCATTAGTTTCTTCAATAACGACATTGATGTCAATAATATTTTTGAGGTCCTAGACAACTGGACCAGTAGTGCATCAACGTCTAAGAAAGCTATGGGCTTCAAAGTGAGCTTCCAACCGCTACTAGCATCATTTTGTTCCAAGGCTTATGTAGAGGATCTCAACCAGACACTCCTTGATTCATTTCAAGATTGAGATCGAATAAATGGTGGTTGATATAATGGCCTTTCCTAATCTCCCCCTCAAAATAAATAATGAACTACAAGAGTATGTGAAAACTTTCACGTTTCTGTTTGAGCTACATGCCAAGTGAGCTAGTTCCTACCAAGAAGCCGCCCAGATCAAGGTGGGTACAGAGGGGGATTGAGCTAGGCTTGAACAACTCAAGTCGGAGTTGCTCTCGATACTAGAATCTATGGAGCAAATGATACTAGCCTTGATGCAACTACAGAAAAAGGAAGCTAACACCGAGAGAACCATCGAAGTCCTACAAAAAGAACTTGACGAGCTTCAGGCCAAACATGTAGCATTAAAAGTCCAAAGTCAATAGGTGGTTCAAAAACAGAAACGATTGAGGGATGAAGGGAAGGAGATATTATCTAAACTCTTGAAAACCTTGGATCACAAAAAGAGGTTGAAGACCCAGTGCGCTTCTCGAAGACAAAGCTTAGATCAAGCCTATCAGGCTTATAGTATTTTTAAATCAAAATATTGTACATAGGCATTTTATATCATTTGATTTGATTGGGGAATTCCAATCCTGAAAATAATGTGATCTTCGATAAAGTTTATCATGTCTTTTTGATCTACATCGTTTAAAGAGATTGCTTCCACCCATTTCGTGAAGTAGTTTATGGCTACAATTATGTATTTGTGGATTTTTGTTGACAACGGGTGAATTTGACTAATTAAATCAATTGCCCAACCTTGGAAAGGCCAAGGTTTGATAATCGAATGTAATTCGCTTGCAGGTTCTTTCTAGATAGGGTCGTGCTTTTGGCACTCCTCGCAGGGTTTTGAAAATTTGAAATAATCTTTGATCATGGTTGGCCAATAATACCCTTTCCTCAATAGAGTCTTTTTCATTTTTTCTCCTGCTTGATGAGCTCCACAAATTCTCTCATAAACTTCAACCATAACTATATAACTTTCATGACTTCCTAGACATTTAAACTATATGCCATCGAACCCTTTCTTGTATAAATCATTATTTAAGATAATGTAGTTGATAGCCTAATACTTGATTTTCCTTTCAGTCTTCGAGTCTGGGTTTTGGAGATACTCTATTATGTCTTTCCTCCAATCTCGAATGCTTGACATATCAATAGTAGTGAAACACTCGTGTTGACTAACCAATTCATGCTCAATGTTAATTACTTTTTCGAGGTTCTGATTCTTTAATTTGTACCCAGATGCAATTTGCGCCAATTCTTTTTGCTATTTGGTTCATGTTTCGAGGGACATGCTCTAATTGGATTTCATTGAAGGAATGAAATACAATCATAGCTCGTGAATAGTACTTAAACAACTTTTCACTAATGCACTTGTATTATTTATTCAATTGTTTAGGGTTAGGGATTACGAGTTATGGGTTGTGGTTTGGGGTTTGGGGTTGAGGGTTGAGGGTTGAGCAATTATGAGTTAGGGGTTGAGGGTTTAAGGTTATGGGTTAGGGGTTAGGATCAATACTATTATTAGTGAAAAAAATGGAGAAGAGAGAGGTATAAAAAAAAAAGATAAAAAATTCACTTAAAAATCCTTGAAGTACTTAAAAAATCACTTCAAACAATCTCTCAATTTGATATTTATAAATATTTTTAAAAAATCTTTCAAAATCTTTCTAATACAAAAATCCTTTCAAATCTTTATTTTTTTTAATACTTATTTTTAAGTTGTAATATTTTTTAAATAAATATCAATAAATTTTAATAAACTTTTTAAATTATTTTTAAATGATATAACATACTATTTAAAAAGGAAGAAACTGTTTTTACTTAAAAGAAAACTATAAAATCCTAAACCAATAACGGAGGTATATACTACTCTACCCCATTATATGAGAGGGTTTTAGTGGCCTTCTCATGTCAGCAAATCACAAATTGACACGTGACTATAATAAGTTAAGTCAGAATCCACCGGTGAAGGGGTAATTGGGGAATTTCACAAATTGACACGCACCCCTTCAAGTTCACCGCCTCCGAATACACTTCTTCAGCCTTCTCCTTCTCCATCCCCAGTTGGCGTGTCACCACCGGTACGATGAAACGCAATTAACTTTGATTCCATGCTTCCCCAACTCCACGCACAGGTTCTTCATCAGACCCACCACCGCATGCTTCGACGCCGTGTATGGGTGCGGCAAACCCACATGAGTTGCTGAAACAACGCTAGCAGTGAACACAATGCTCCCTCTCTTTCTCGGAACCATTATCTTAGCAGCGTGTTTCGTGGCGTAAAAATAACTGAACACGTTCACCTTAAAAACGCTCTTGAACTCACCCGGATCAAGGGCCATGATGGAAGGGTCATAACTGCTGTCGATGCCCGCGTTACTAAACAGGATGTCAAAGATGAGGGATTCGTCGTCGGAGAAGATAACCGTTTACAATTCATAAATGACCTTGCTTCATCGAAGAAGATGAGGGATTCGTCTTGGGAGAGGATGAGAGTTTAGGCTTCAGAAACGACACTCCATTTTCACAAATCATTGTGCTTTGTTCACGGATATTCTGTCCCTTGTGAAATTTCCCAATTGCCCCTTGACCGTTTGAGTATGACTCAGCTTATTATAGTCACGTGTCAATTTGTGATTTGTTAGCATGAGATGGGCACCAAAACCCCCTCATATAAACTGGCACCGTTAACGGGACACTAGCACAATCTCTTGAAAGTTAAAAGTGCTTGTGAATTGTTGATGTCTCGGGGTTCCAGCGCGGCGGTGGTGTGAGCAAAGATAGCATTAGCATGTTTGTACGCTGTTTTCCAGTAACCTCGAAGCTATTGCTGTCACTACTCACTAGTACCCGCCTGTTGTCTTGTACTAGTAATACAAGCGCAACAATCCCAATCACTCCTACAACTTTGAAACAGTGCAATTCTTTCCCCCACGCGAAACTGTTGCATCAGCAAAGCATCGTTCAAGGTGTTGTCCAGTTGGTGGTGACCAACCTTATTGGCACATACATAGCCTGCAATTCTGCTCCGAACGCCATTTTGCTTGTGGAGCGCCTCACGCCGTCACTATCCTCCGTTTTCTGGTGGAATAAACTCATAAGGCGCGCCCTTCATATTGGAATCCCTCGTGACGTGTTCTCTCTCTACCGTCGCATGAAATCACTCGGCTGGACCCCTGACCACTACACCTTCCCTTTTGTTTTCAAAGCTTGCGCCGAATTCCCTTCTCTCTCCCTCGGTGCTTCGCTCCATGCTACCGTTTGTCGCTCCGGCTTTGTCTCCAATGTATTCGTTTGTAATGCCGTTGTTGCTATGTACGGCAAATGTGGTGCACTCCATCATGCACACAACATGTTCGATGATTTGTGTCAGCGAGGCATTCAGGACTTGGTTTCTTGGAATTCTATTGTGTCTGCTTATATGTGTGCTTTCGATGCAAATACTGCACTCGCGTTGTTTAGTAAAATGACTACACTTCATCGGATATCCCCGGACGTTATCAGCCTAGTTAACATACTTCCAGCTTGTGCTTCCCTGGCTGCCTCGTTGCGCGGCAAACAGGTTCACGGGTTTGCTATTAGAAGCGGATTGGTGGATGATGTTTTCGTAGGGAACGCTGTGGTTGATATGTATGCCAAGTGTGGCAGGATGGAGGAAGCAAATAAGGTTTTCCAGAGGATGAAGTTTAAAGATGTTGTTTCTTGGAATGCCATGGTCACCGGCTATTCTCAAGCAGGAAGATTAGAGCATGCTCTTTCTTTGTTCGAGAAGATGCGCGAGGAAAACATCGAATTAGATGTTGTGACGTGGACTGCTGTTATCACAGGGTATGCGCAGAGAGGGCAAGGTTGTGAAGCTTTGGATGTGTTTAGGCAGATGTTGAACTCTGGTTCTCGTCCAAATGTAGTTACTCTCGTGTCCTTGCTTTCAGCTTGTGCGTCTGTTGGAGCATTGCTTCATGGGAAAGAAACTCATTGTTATGCCATCAAATTTATTCTTAACTTAGATGGACAAGATCCTGGGGATGATGATTTGAAGGTGATTAATGGTCTAATTGACATGTATGCTAAATGCCAAAGTACAGAAATTGCTAGAAAAATGTTTGATTCAGTATCCACAAAAGATAGGGACGTGGTTACCTGGACTGTGATGATTGGCGGGTATGCCCAGCACGGTGATGCCAATCATGCCCTACAACTTTTCTCTGAGATGTTTCAAACGGATAAGTCTATCAAGCCTAATGATTTTACTTTATCATGTACCCTTGTGGCCTGTGCTCGTTTAGCAGCATTGAGGTTTGGCAGGCAAATTCATGCTTATGTGTTGCGCAATTGCTATGATTCTGTTATGCTATTTGTGGCTAATTGTCTTATAGACATGTATTCCAAATCTGGAGATGTCGACACCGGTCAAATTGTTTTTGACAACATGCCACAGAGAAATGCAGTCTCTTGGACGTCTTTAATGACTGGATATGGCATGCATGGACGCGGTGAAGATGCTCTTCGGGTTTTTGGTGAAATGAGGGAAGTGCCTCTAGTGCCTGATAGCATAACCTTCCTTGTTTTGCTTTATGCTTGTAGTCATTCGGGAATGGTGGATCATGGAATCGACCTCTTTAATAGAATGAGCAAGGATTTTGGGGTAGATCCTGGACCAGAGCATTATGCTTGCATGGTTGATCTCTGGGGTCGTGCTGGTTGTTTAGGTGAAGCTATGAAGCTCATTAATGAAATGCCTATGGAACCAACCCCAGTAGTGTGGGTTGCCTTGCTTAGTGCTTGTCGGCTACATTCAAATATAGAACTTGGGGAATTTGCTGCAAACCGTTTGTTAGAATTGGAATCCGGGAATGATGGGTCATACACATTGCTTTCAAACCTATATGCTAATGCTAGACGCTGGAAAGACGTGGCTAGGATTAGATATATGATGAAACGTTCTGGAATCAAGAAAAGACCTGGTTGCAGCTGGGTCCAAGGAAGGAAAGGCGTTGCAACCTTTTTCGTGGGAGACAGATCTCATTCACAATCTCAGCTGATAAATGAAACACTCGCAGACTTGATTCAACGCATTAAAGCCATTGGGTATGTTCCTCAGACAAGCTTTGCTCTTCATGATGTAGATGATGAAGAAAAGGGTGACCTGCTTTTTGAACACAGTGAGAAGTTGGCTCTTGCCTATGGCATCCTAACATTACCTCCAGGTGCACCTATTCGAATAACCAAGAATTTACGCATCTGTGGTGATTGCCACAGTGCCATATCTTACATTTCCAAGATTATTGAACATGAGATCATACTAAGAGATTCAAGTCGCTTCCATCATTTCAAAAACGGATCCTGCTCATGCAAAGGGTACTGGTGACAACAAAATCAACCGATTCCATTTAATTTGACATGTTTGCTATGAGAGAGGTAAGGTAATTATCTTATTCTACTACACTCATTAGAAAAGTGAAGTTATCTTTATCGATAGAAGGAACTACGGATGGTCAGAATTAACTGAGTTGAACTGGCAGATAACTGAACTAATTAAATTGAAAAAAATTGAACTGTTTAGGATAAAAATTGAATTGAACTATTTTATAGCTCAGTTTTAAAAATCCAAACTTCTAAAGTTGCAGTTTGGTGCACTGCCAAATTCAATTGTATTACTTACGGCTGGAAAAATAAATGACAGGCCGCTTTTTGGCTTCACTCGGCACTCACTTTTTGCTCAATGAACAGAAACAATACTTTGCTAGATTTGAATGAAATTTGCAAACCCTAAATCCCCTAATTAGCACAACGATGCAGGCTCCGTAAGATCCAGTAAAATAAGTGATGTGGTATAATCTGAATTATATCTTATGTATTTTACTAAACTTACATAGTATGAAATTGCATTCATTTATTATGCATTTCTTCGATTTTTTATATTATCGGAGTTAAAAAAGGTGGATCTATTGGATCTTTTTTCTTTTCATTGAATCGTAGCTGAGATTTGTGCCAAGGTTTTAGACGAAAAGGAAAGAAGATTTTTATTTGAATACCATCTGTTAACCGTTTTTGGGGAAATTCTCTTTCAGATAATGGACCGCCATTATATGTACATTTAATATAGATTTCTCTCTTCCAATCCCTAAAATCTATCTCTTCTTTTGTTCACTGTTCACTGCTTTGTGAGCCCCATATCCCCACATTGTTTCCTTCCGGTTAGTTTTGTATCTATTATGCTTTTTTTTATTATTTTTTTTTAGTTTTGTATTGTTGTTGTTGCACTTAGTTGTGTGATTTTCAGTGTTCTTACTTCTTTGTAGCCTTTAATTGAAATATTGAATACTTATACTTTCTTTGTTTCTTCCATCATTCGCTAGATCTTCAATCTCTACAAGTATGACATTATTTCATCCTCTTATTGTGTGCATGTGTATTTTGCTTATGTGTTATTTTTTTGTTGTCTTTTAAGATTCAACATACCTAGTTCTATCAAGCAAGGCTTGATTCTTAATGTTATTTTCTTAATTTTATTCCTTTCAAAGTTATCTATTACCTTTTTGAATGTCCGGCAAAAACACATAGTTTCTCCCCCAAAAATAACTTCTCCAGTGGGAGAACGCATTAGATATTTATCTAAACCTGTCGGTCCTTGAGCCGATCCTACGTTAGCCCTAAGATGTTGGTCTCTAACTAGAAAAGTAAATGCTTGAGCTTGAGAAGCTTCTAGTCCAGTGGGCCCGTAAAACTCACTAGGATAAGCGGTATTATTAAACTAGACAAAGCAACAACCAATAAAATCAAAAATAGATAAAGCACCTAAATTATAAGATAAGTAAGCTTCTCCAGACCATACAAGTGCACGCTGAGCCCACGCAAAGGGTTTGGTTAAGATATGTCAGATTCCACCAAATATACAGATGGAACCCAACCATACATGCCCTCCAATTATATCTTCCAAACCGTCCACACTGACAATCCATCCTTCTCCTCCAACAAGCTTTTTTTTTTATCTTTTCATATTTTCTTTTTATATATTTTACTACTTCACAATATCTAATCAGCAATTATTCATAGCCATATTCCTACAGAATGATGGGTATATCATGGAAATGGACCCCACAATGTTGGAGATATCTGATAGGAGACCAATGATTAAGAGGGTGTATGTAAGGCATAGAGGGGAAACTCAATTGTAACTTAATAGTCTGAATAATCTTTAAATAGGGAAGGAAAGGGTGTTAATGGGAGGTAGGCAATTATTCAGAAGTTGGTAGGAGAGGAGAGGTCTCTCGAATACCTCATTGTATTTCTCTGGTTGTTTTGATTAGGAGGATTACTCAAAAATGCAGAACGGCCTGTGCCTAAATTTTTTTCAATCTGTTCAATCTTAAATCTTTCTCTCATATCAATTGGAATCTATCAAGAGAGGGGGGAAGATATGAATAGGCGAGTAAGGAATTGAGATAAATTTATCTTCTGTATTTTTATTAAACTGTAAAGATGAATTGTTGTTATAGAGAGACTGAGAGACAAAGCTCTTATATATAGACTCCAAAGGTGGCTTCTGCTACCAGCTAAAGATTGAAAACCTATCTGATTTACAACAGACTCCAGCTATCATAACTGAGTGACAAGTTGCTGGCTCATCAACTGACAAGGTGCTTAGTCAGCAGCTAGAAGTCAGTGATACATATAACAGTTGTACAAATATCAGCGAGAGATGTTTTGACAAACAAAAGTACTCGCTTTAGAAAATGACCACCCCAAATCTATGCCCTAATTTATGAGAGACTAAAACCAAAATTTGGAATGCTTATATGGATGATATGAAATGCATGGCAAATTGAAGGTGGCAGCTCATTTGACATGCCAAACCAATATCCCAATTTTTTAGGACATACCAAAACTCGGTAGTTTTGTATGGCCAAAATATATTTAAGTCAAATTTGAATGCTTTACAATTTTTTCATTTTTTTTAATATGTAGCTGTTGCTTTCATTACAGCAGTCACTGTGATCTGCTATGCTACTATTAAGATTTTGGATGTGACTCTTCCACGCCACATTTTACCATTAATTGTGTTGACTATAAACATGTTGCACAGATTTAGCTCCTCTAAAGTAAAGAAGTGTACTTTAAAGGATAAAGTGTAATCACAATTGTTGATTAAAAAATTAACAATTGATAATCATGATAAAATCAAATACATATATATAGTAAAATCTAAAATCAATTATAATATCTATTGTTAATTTTTTAATTAATGATTATTATTGCACTATATTTTATTAAGTGAAATCTGTTCACTTTAGAGGAGCCAAATTCATGTTGCACACCAGGACATTATGATTCTAAAGCTCATGTTTTGTTGGGATTTTAAAAAAAATAGTAATTCCTTAAGTTTTTTTTAATATTGGAGTATTAGGAAACATAATCCTTATTTGCTCATCTAAAATATCAACGCTATTGATACCCACCTCAAAGCTGAATCAAACTAAATGAATGAAAAAAGCTTACTTTTTGAAGTTTAGTCAAACTTTGTTTTGCACAAGCTACGTGAGTCAACTTACTTACCAACAAAAGATTACATAAGATGAAACACTTCCTTTGTTGAACATGATTAGAAATTGTTTAATTCTAATGCTATTTGAAATATTCTGTTTAAATTTTCAAATATCTTTGTGATCATGTTGGAATCTTAATGCCAGTAATCTATGGAGGACAATATCAGAGGAGAAGAGAGAACTGGAGTGCCTGCAGAAACCATTGCATAATTCTGTTCGTCGAGCAGCAGAAGTTCATCGTCAGGTTGTAAACCCTAAACCCCTTATGTTAATATCTGGCTAGTTTTGGAAAAAAAATGGACAAGATTGTCACTGTTTTTTGTTTGGATAGGGGTAAGGAAATGAAGGGTGGGAAAATTAATGTAGGTCTAAACTGCTATTTTTGTTCTCCAAGAATTTGTGGAAAACATTCCAAGAAAGTAGATTCTAAAACTTATGATGAAAAGGTTGGGTTTAATGTAAATCAAATAATGTAATTTTAATTTATGAAATGATTTGAAAATATGGCAAGAATATATTAGTAATCTTCTCAAATAGCACCGATGGTCTTGGAACTTTTCTGATATATCAATATTAATCAAACCTTAATATTATTGGCATTGGCATTGCTAAAAGTTATAGCACCCTATTATCAAAGGGCTGCCTGTACATGATAAAAATGAAAAATGAGATAGCTTACACTATTTGTAGATTATCAAGTGAAAATTTACCAAGTCAACATTAATCAGTACTCTGTAACAGGGATAACATCCATCACTGTGAAAATGAGAAAAAAAAAATCTAAAATATAGAATCTCGTTGTAATGAAGTAAATGCACATTTTGAACATAGTGCAACTTAAACCTGTGACCTCCCATTTGAAGAAATCTTTGAACAAAAAGAAGATGATGCTTCAACGGGCTATGAAAACCTAGCAATGTGTATATTATATTATATATAAGAGTATGATGGCCGTGCTTTTTATGATCATTGAACGCAGGAAATGTGAAATAATTGTTGCCAACCTTATGAGTTGTGCAGAATCTGAGCCATTTAGAAAAAGAAAAAAAAAAAGAGAAAAAGTTAAGCAGGTTAAGTTGTTATTTAGCGGCTCATGAGAAGGCTGTTTGGAAGCCATTTCTGAAAATAACAGTACCCAAATTGTCGCCTCCAATGGTCCATGTTTATTGAGTACAGAGTAAACTATTTAACTAGAACTAAACTGGAGCTTTAAGATCTGCAGAGAACAGCAAATTATTTTTTAAAAAATAGAACTAGAGTTCTTTCTGTTTCTGCTGCTTTTCAACCTTGATTAAATTAGAAATTTGTTTTGAAACTTTTGGGAATGGCTGAAGCCATCTTAGTATCAAAAGTTAGCAGTGATGTATAGTTAAATTTCTTTTGTTCTTCATAGGATGCTCTCTGCATATGTTTTTTGTGTCAACAGAATTATACTGAGTTAAAAAAATGCTGGCTGTTGGGTTATGGAGTGTGGTTATGGCTTGATTGATAATCCCAAAGAGAAGGGTATTTTTTCTACCATTAAATTGGTCATGTGCACTTAAGGTGACATTCTCTGTTAGAGGGTGTTTCTGTAGTAGTGTGTTTTTTGCACCATATATAAACACTAGGGCTGATTTGCACACATTTAATTTCTAAGAATTAATTCGTCCATGACTCTACTGATACGAAACCAAGAAAATAAATAGTTATTAAGATAAACACTAGCAGCAAATCAACAAATAACTTCCTCTTCTGTATTGATTCAAACACAAGGTCAAGGTGTCTGGTGGGATATAATCAAAATCTCACATATATTGTTAGAATAAGAAGAGGAACATGGGTTTATAAACACATGAACGGTTCTACTGATAAGAGGGTTTTTCGGACAATATCGTGCTAATAACCATTATTTTTTGTTTGAGAGAATTGTTGGGACTTGGGATACAATTAACGTCTCCTGTGCACAACATTGACCTTTCAAAGAAGAACATAACCTGCAATGCTGTCTTTTCTGTTTCTAATCCCTAATACTCTATCTTTTTTCTCCCTATTTCCTATTTGTATCCCATATTTTATTATCTTTTTTCTCCCTAATTCCTATTTATATCCCATATTTTATTATCTTGCCGCTTTTACAGTTGTAGCCTAATGAACCCTACTAATTCTCCTAATTATTAAAATAATAGTTGTTCTTGAAACGCCTCTAGCTATATTTACCAGTAGGGCAGCACAGCAGGACTACTTCCGGCTACCTCTTCAAAACCTTTCGATGTGAATGCTAGTCATTGCTAACACAATCATTAAGAGAGTAATGTATTTTTTTTTCTCAATATTTTATTTGTTCCATAAGGCATTCAAGAGGGGGAAGGGGAATAGGAACAAGAATCCCATCTGACCTCAAGGGATATTTTTATGCTTCCTTTTAAACTTTTGATTACATAAAAAATCTTTTGGATTGGATTTTCCCATGCACAAGTCTTGTATAGTTTACCACGTGTCTTTGACTTGATTTTCTTTTTTTTGAGCAATTGATTGCTTGGTTTTTACTTTAGTCATTACTAATACTAGCAAAAATTGAGTGATTGGAAGATTGCAGAAAGTCAAAGAGACATATCGGAGGCAAAAGCCTTGGTGGAGGAAGCAGAAAGCTCTCTGCTGGTAAATGTGGGAGGTCCTGAATATGGCGATACATCCATGGGGATGAAAAGTGTAGAAATTGATCGAGATGAAGAGAGACGGGAGTCAGTAAAAGCAGCATCAATTTCTGCCCTTGTTGGTACCTTAACAGGGCTTCCCATATGCTTCACTCAGGTCACCAACACAACTCAGCTGCTTCTCCCTTTAGCGATCAACTTTATTTGTTGTGCATTGTTTGGAGTGACTTTTCGATACACTATAAGGAGAAACTTAGATGATGTTCAGCTTAAGACAGGGGTAGCTGCAGCGTTTGGTGTTGTTAAAGGTAATCATAATACTATGCTTACATGTTAAATATATTGGAATTTTGCCACTGCATAAATTTAGATAAAATAATATGCTGTCATTTTCTTTTCTTTTGTGGTCTTGAGATGAATGCTTTGTCGAAACAGTACAATCTAAATGAATTTAATTGTACGGAAACAAATTCGTGATGCAGGTCTCGCAACCCTTGGTGCTGGTCCACTTCCTGACCCGAACTTTGAAAGCTTCTTATCACATGCACAGGATGGGACAATTTATGTGTCTGAGAATCTTTTAATTTTTATATCTGCTGCAGTTGCTCTAGATTACTGTTTAAAGGCGAGGCTTTTGAGGCCTTTTCCAATTGACTGATCATAGCTTAAATACGAATTAATTTTAACAATTATCACAGCTTAAATGGACAATGATCAATGTGTTGCTATTGTTTCAATTTACCCATAGTCCATCAATTATTCAATTCTATCCAAAAATTCAGTGATAGTCTGTACTAAAATGTCTTCCACTTAGATGCGAATATTTTATCGTTTGTGTTGTTAAGCTGTGACATTTGACCTTTCTGAATGAATTATGCAGTGTTTTTCTTAATCAGCACACTGAAAATTTCTATATTGTCTTTACAAGCTAAAATCTTCCAACCGATATTTCAAGAATTAACAAGTAATGGAAACAACCAACATACTATTTATTTATTTATTTTTTGTAATTTTGTCAATTAACTTATTCAATTTTTCTATATGTTGTAAATCAACAGTAACAATCAATTATTGGATTTTTTTCTTAACTAATCCTCTACAGCTTTTAATATGTGTAAGTAGCTGTCTTCCAAAATAATATATTAAATTACCTTCATTGTCTCTTTCAACGTGAATTTGGGGTTAAGAAACTGGAATTCACACCTAAATTTTATTGTGTATGTACAGTTTAGAATTTGGATTCTTTAAAACCAAATTCTAAACTAGTATTTTTTTTAAAAA